TTGATTGATTGATTGATTGATTGATTGATAGATATTCAAAAATCCAGCAGATCCAACGTAGCTAATCCTGTCTGGTCCTTTAGACATTTCATTGCTTTTCTATTTTGAAATGATTAACCAAGGCTCTCTTTATCTTGGCAAAACCTTAGAATCATGGCACACAGCTTCATATCTGCAATGTTTACTGAGTATAAATTTGGACCTCTTCCATCAAAAATTTCTAACTTCACCGCTGACGGTGATGCCAATGTACTAAAACACATGCCCAGAGAGCTGTTTATGCTTTCTTCGATCTGAATGGAGGTAAGTTCATCGAAACTGTACAACTCGTATATCAGGACAATGCAATTTATTGCTTCATGTCTTGTTACATTTATGCTCATGACACAAAATCAAGTCATGTAATGAAAAACCAACTGAAAGAACATACAGAGTCCAAACAAAGTCGATCTGCATGACCAACGGCAAAGGAAATAATTTATAGCCAGCCAATCACAATCCATCCTGGTAGTTTCTCCTCTTGAGCTCATCGCGTGAGTTTAACTTCCTTGCTGAATCCCTTCACAAGCTGTTTGAACTTGATAACACGCCCTTCTGTAGTGCTGCCCGGTTTCGGCTTCACTGTCACATGATTTGTTTTGTCGGTACCTGGGACAACGGCTCCGTTCACCCTCACGTCCCCAGTAGTCACATGTACAGCATTTCTGACAAACACCTGACATGACAGAAAATATGTTGACCAGTTGGTAATGACAGAACATCGATCGTCTAGGGGAAATATTAATTAGACAAAGCCAATGGCAGAAAATATACAAGTTTCTAGTAGATTGAAGACTAAAAATATCATGGTTACCACCGCTGGACTTTTAAGCTGTCCCTAACCGTCCGATAGAATGAAGGGTAAGTCAACCGTAATGGGATGACCATCCATTTATCTTGCAATCTTAAAACACCAGGGGCGTTTAGAATCCTATGCAGTTACGTAAAGATTCTCGTATATCACCACTTCTGCAATCAACTCTCTCTCAAAATGGAGACCATCGTAAGACGGACACTTTCCCTAGGCAGGCACGGCTGTTCCAGCCAGAATTTCTATTGTTTATTTGTAACCAGATTTTCTATAAAGCGGACACCACTAAAGCGAACAACTAGTGTTGTTTCCCAATGAGTTTGTCTTACAGAGAGTCCAAAGTAAATGATCACATCGTAGAGTGGACTCTCACTAGGATGCACGCACTATTGAGAGGCTCTCGTTTTCCGCTTTGGAAAAAAATGTCTTAATTGACCACTCCTCCAGCGGGGCTTTTCAGGCCCAATGAAACCAAACGAAGAAACAAATAATGCAAATGAACATAACATGGTTAAAAATCCCACCTGACGGGAGGCAGACCAGTTGGCTATTTACAAGCATGACCGAGGAGTTGAACTAGGGTCTACCGAGAAACAACTCCAGCTAAGTGGTCAGAGCGGGAACCTGCGATCTCAGGATTTGAAGATTGAAAGAGAGTCCAGTACAGAGAAACAAGTGAATCCAGGGACAAGAATGATAAGGTGGCTCTCTATAGTTTTACGGTCGCACCCGTGCTGAGGACGATCGCCGCGTGCTCAGTGTCTTTCGATATTTTATGACGTCAACATGAGCACAAAACGCAAAACTGACTGTGGATTTTCTCGCGTTTCCTTCGGTGAATTT